TGGAAGAATGCATGTATATAAATGCTTCTGTAAGCAGATATACATTCAGAATTTTAAAAACAGGTAGTTCTTAGAGTTCAGTTCAAAGAAAAAAAAAATTATCTTAACTAACCGCAGAAAAAATTATACTTTTTCAGAACCAGAAAATTTCATTTTGAATTTAATTAAAAAGAACAAGATCATAATTCACATAATTATCACTCATTTTCTCCTAAATCTTTGACTATTTCCCTTCTAAATGAAGCATTTTCCAAAGCTTTTTTTAAAAAAACTGATTTGGGTTTTAATAAAGACCGAGCATTGTAAAACAATCGTCAAACTTGCCTCATCTGGATCAACCGTTTCTTGACATCCTTTCCCGCCTTTCCAGTAGCAGTGTTTTCTGTAAGTGTCAATAACTTCCCATCCTGAAAAAAAAGAAAGTTAAAAAAAAATAAGTTTTCTTGTTTAAAAAATTTTTAGTTGTTAAAACACTATTCACGCCAAACTTTTAAGGGGAAGCTAAAAATACAATATTGATTCTGTCAATATAACAGCGTTGAACTGGCTGAGAAGCTGGTAAGAAAAAGCGCAGTAACATTACATAATTTAGTAGCAAAGATAATAATTTCACCGAATTTAGTATTGACGGGAGCTTAACTTTGTAGTTTTGACCAATAAAAGACATTTTGATAACTAATTAACTGAAAAGTGTAAATTTACAGAAGTTTTACTCTAACCAATTTTCAATTCTTTTAAGGGAGCAAACTTTCTGTATTTTTGCTAGAATTTGGTGACATTAAAGTGTTTTCTTTGGTTTGACCTATAATTCATGTAGGATTCTTACCAAAAAGAAAAAGCTGAATTTTTGAATATTTTTTACGACATAAATATTATTCCAGATAAAAGATCGATAAGTGTGATTTGATGTGAGTGCTATGAGCAGATGTTTATTGTTGTTTATGCTCTTATTTTTCAATTGTTTTGAAATTTTAGCTTTAAAAGTCTTGTGTGTTATTTTTCAACATTAAAATATGAAAAAAAGTTTTTTTAATTTTTAAATTATAATAATGTAAAAAGATTTGCACAAATAGATGGGAGTGGCTCAAAAATGAAGTGAAACTTTTTGAACCGACTGCTCGTCAAACTTACTGTTTCACTATATGACAGTGCACCTCTGCGTTTGCCTCCGTAAAGCGGTTTCAGTCTTTCAGCAATATTTACAAAGCTATTGGTAGTAATAATAGTAATAATTAGGCGTTTTTTATTTGTTTATATTAAGGTTGCAAGCAGAGACGAAACTTGTACATTCCATGTTGGTCACTGTTACATTTATTCTACTTACAATCCTACTGACTAGCACTGCGTTACTGGAACCTGCTTATGAATGGCCAATGCTCTACAACCACGACGAGTTTGTTTTACTTTAAACAAATAAATTTTTCTTTGCGTCTTTTTACTTTTTCCTACTTTTAGAAGTTTTCCACAAACCTTTCGTAATGACAAAAATAGGTGAAACGGTATAACAAGCACAAAGATTGGCCAAAAAATATTGACGATAGTAAAGAACAAGAAAACCGAAAAATTAGAAATAGTTTCAATCATTAGTTTTATTAAATAGTTTCAGCACCTTTATCGTTTACAGTACACCTAAAAAGCGTTTTTTTTTTTTTTTTGCATTTGGTGACAAAATAGTTCAAATAACATGTTGAAGAGCTTTTTATCCTTGCACAAGATTTATCAAACCGACAAACTGACGACAACTAACTGGAAACTAACCTTTCAAAAAAACTCATTTTAGCGATTTGCAGAAACAGAAATGCATTCAAGAAAACAGTAGAAACCGTCTTAGGTTCATGAAAAATGAGTGAAAAGGTTAAATTTAATATTTTTCATCAAGAACAGCAGTGGTAGTAACACTAGCAGTAATAGCGGTACTGGTAGTAGTACTAACACTACTACTATGATTACTACTATTACTATTATTACTAGTACTAGTACTAACAATAGTACTGCTATTACTGCTAGTGTTACTGCCACTACTGTTTATAACGATAATAATGATAATAATGGTAATAATAATAATAATAATAATAATAATAATAGTATTATTATTATTATTATTATTATTATTATTATTATTATATTATTATTATTATTATTATTATTATTATTATTATTATCATTATTATTATTATCGCTAGCACCACTACTAACAATAGTAAAAAAAAACTGCTAGTAGTAATCACAAGGAAAATTTTGTTGTCTTTATGATCCTATTGTATTTCCTTAATTAACTTCTTCACTAGAGGAATTTCAAATGGAAAATGAATTGACGCTTCATTTTATTTTTTTACACGAAGAACTGCTGTTGCAAATGATCAAAAAATAATTTTACCGAAAGTATTTGA